ATACAGTATATATATATATATATAATACATGGACGTACAAAGACATTTGAAACAGTTTTTCTTATAGTAAATACTTATTGATACTTAAAATCATGATAAAATCAATTTATGATATATTTATTTATTATTATTTCTCCACATCCACACGTACGTCAGAAGTTTGTTGTCATGGGTGTAAACTGTATTTCCTCATCCTGACGTGTTTTCCGGTTAAACCTGTGGTGCAGTGTTTTGTAAATAAAGGTGAATGTGGGCATTGGCCTCAGGTCACCTGAGGAGGTCTGCAAGAACACACACCTGCAGGACCCACACTGTAACTGCAAGGATTCAAGGACACACAAATGGACAAACTGCACCACGGTCACACTGCTGCTGTCTTTTGTTTTAGTAACAGTGGTTTTGTGACAATCTGTGACTATGACATTGAAATCTAAATGCATGCACGTGCTAACAATAATCAAACTGAGCTAATAGGTGTCATTTAACTGTGTCTAAGCACCGATTTAAATAAACAAAAACAACTATTTTGTAAGTTCTTTGCTTACAAATAAACTAAAAATGCAATGTTAGACGTGACACAACTTCTGTTAGCCGTGAGCAGATGTGTTTATGGAAAAGACGAGCACCACAATCAAGTGAGGCTCTCTAAATCGTGCCTGAACCACAGTTACACCCCTGGGAAAAAACTAGGGGCAACATGAGGAAGATAGATTCCTTCTGCCCATCTTCTCAGAACTCCCAGTGACCACAGTGACAATATCATTCAGAGATGTTTAAACAACAACAAGATCTCAGTTGAGAGTGGTTTCAGGCCTGTGTTTTTGCGTCTGGGAAAAATCTTTGTGTTTACGCCAAAAAAGCTGCTTAGACTTTGTTTCAGAGATCCTGATAAAATCATCACTAACCAGCTGCTAACAAATGGTTAAATTCATTAATGGTCTACAGCAGGGCTGTCGATGTCATATACACAGTGGGCCAAAATTAAAAAAACCACTGCTAATACTGCGGATCCTGACACTTGATATGATATCGTGGGCCAGATTTGGCCCCCGGGCCTGAGTTTGACACGTGTGGTCTACAGTAACCAGATGAAGCCTAAGAACTACAGTGATTAATTTGCTTTTAAGGGTTTATAGGGTATAGCTAATATATATATACAGCATTTATTATAATTAGTGTAGCTAGCATCCAAATACCATCACACTGCTCATTCACACAAGTAATAAAAGTTAAAACAAAATATGTTATTTTTGATGTCTGACTTTTTGTAAGCCCAGGTTTGCCTCTTGTCATTCTGCCCTGCAGCTCTGTTGGATAAATCCAATGGGAAGTTGTCCCTTAAAAAATGATTAGCTTCAAACTATGAGCCACGCAGGAAAATTTCCTGTTTTCACAAAAGGTTCTCCTGTACGTTCCTCACTAACCACAGACGGCCGCTTCTCTGAGCTTTTCTCAGTTAGAGTCAGCTGAGAAGTATTTCTATTTGGCTGCAGACTCCGTCAACAAGCGAAGTGATGTGTCTGATTTTCCACTGCTGTCCAGCATCTCCCGGTGTCATGTTTGGAACTCTTGAACATGTGAGTCATGTTACATCAGGAGGTGTGGAGCTGTGACAAGGCAGCTGCTGAGAAGCCTTCTCTGTCATTGTGGCCGACTTTCAAATGCAATATATTTTTTCATTAGCGAAAAAAAAAAAAAAAAAAAAAACCCAAAAAGGCAGGAAACAATTTCTTCAATTTCTACCACGAGAGAAATCTTTTCACATATACATCATTACTATTTACAACCCTGCCCTCCTTTATTCTTCTCTGTCGCTGACAGTAAGGCATGTTTTAAATGGTCTGAAGATCACAGTCCCTGGGAGTTGGACTCACTCCCTCCACTTCCCCAAAATGGTCACAGAGACAAAAGCCAGACCTTTTTCTTTTGACAGGGTTCAAGAGATCACAGTTTATATTTCCTCTTGCATTACACGGGTTTCTAAATTGTCTGGTTTTGGTGGTGGAGAGGGGGATACTTCGCTTCAAACACAATATAGGCTGAGGCTTATCATTCCTGACTGCAGCGGTGTCGCCATGAGGAGGAAGCTGCTTATATCATCTTTGTTTTGCTCAGGCCCAGCTGTTTTTGCTCTCTGTCTTGACCGGCTATCTGCTGATGCTGAGGATCTTTGATGTGCACACGGAGCCAGTGCTTATGCGACGGGGGAATCGTCGTGGCAACAACGGCACAGGGAGCGCCACCTCCTATCAGTCTGCCGGAGTTCAAGTTTAAACAACTGAGGAAGATTGTTTTGGTTAGTCTCTCTTTAAGGCTGCGGGACATCTGTTCTCTCTGGTGTTCTCGCCATTGTGTTAGACTAATAGTAAATAAAAGAGTAATAAAAGCACAACTTTTTGGTGATTAAGAAAAATCTTTAACGTGTGAGCACGATTCAGTATCTGGTCTAACATGCAGTGATTTAAACTTTTACAGTTTAAACGCCACATTCTCCCACATTCTTCCACATCTTCCACCAATGCAAATTAAGACATTTCTGCATTCACACCAAACATGGAGGCATTACTTTCCCTGTGTTGTTTGCAGCACTAAACACAATATACAGTACGTTGGAAATTGTTCCCATCAAATACATTACAGCTGTGGCAATAAAGAGTAAAACTATTTCCAAATACCATCAAAATGTTAGTGTGAATAAATACTCCACATTAACTGCAAGTTGTTTTTTTTATCCCAAGCAGAGTTTTGTTGGACAGCTGGACATAATGAACCAAACACTTGTTTATTGAGATTTCAGGACAGATTATCTCATTTGTACTTGCCCGAGGGTCATCC